TATATTGTGAATATTACGCATTTTAGCCGCGTGGCCCGCGTTACAATGTTCGTTTATGATGTTCATCGGTCATGTAGGCCTATCACCTTCAATAAGTTTTACACACACTGGCTAATGAATTTAACCCATTTAACCCAGCATTTCACATTTGTGATTCAAATTGCTTTTCAGTTTGAAGGGTCTGAAACAAGTTGTAGCTATTTTAAATATAAGTAAAAGTGCATATAGTTTTAACAGCATGTAAAAAAATGTGCTGTAAGTCACCTGACCAGATACTGTATATGACCTCTGTCTCAAGACCACAATAAAGGAAGCACAGATATAGATATATAGGATCATATTTGCTATAATATTAAAGGGTCAGTTATTAATATGATATTAAGATTCTCTGTCATGATCACTTGTCAGCTGTCAGATTTATGACCAGTCTGACAACTCTTAAGCCACATATTGTAATTCCATTGTCTTAAAAAATGACATGCTGTTCGTTTCGTATGTGCTCATGTAAACTGCAAAACATTTGTGAACAAATAGGTTAACCTAAATTCATCATAAGCCTGCTTTAGGCCTAACCACTGAAACAAGTTCATAGCATTTACTGGTTTTAGTTGGGATGAAAATCCCTAGTTTAAACCGCTCCCCTAGGATACTATGCAGAAATCATGTGAAATAAACAAGATAATTACCGTAGGCAAAACAAACTAAAGCCTGTATAATAATCCCTTACTGTTTTGTACAGCAAGCTGGTCGTTATTGTGAGATTAAATCAGTGTTTAAATCATGCAAGGCAGAAATGCTACTGAGTGAATTGCAGACTTTCTATAAAACAGGCATATTTCCATTGAAATGCAGTGCAAACATGGAATGTTTGAACAAGTATGTCATTCATCAAATGTAAAAGTACCCTAGCGGCGCTTCAAAATGAATGATACATTACACTGCTTGCATATTTGAAATGAAATTTTAAAGCTTACCAGATACTTTTAATCCGCCGAAGTTGGTCTTATCTTCTGAAGTACAGTAGGAACCAGGTACAAGGTCAAAGCTTTTACTTTCTTCAATGCAGCAGAGCAGGAATAGGTGTGTCCTTCTTTATTACAGTGCTATGGCGTGGTTAAGACTTCCTTTTGTCTGACCTGCCACTCTAACAATCAAGTAGCACTGTGCCATTCATTCATTGGCTGGCTAATGCTGCCTAATGTGTCCTGGGAACAAAATCACAACTGGTTTCCTTATCTGTGTCCGGTGTGATCAGAGCTGGGAATGAGATAATAAACCCACGATCAGTTCAAAGGTCACTGGGACGACGGTCTCTTTACAGCCTACCTTACAACACTATTACATTGATGTCGTTAAAATCAACTAAACAATGTAACAAAGAAAATCCACACTATGTAAAAAGGTAACAAAACAAGATTCAGCTTAAGGCCATTATTGTCTTTATCTTCTGTATTGTTTAATAACTGATTAATGTCTAGTTGCTCAACTCTTGGCCCTGAAGTCTTTACATATCCTTTTAACCAGGTCAAATTAGTCATGCAAGAGTTGCATTAAAGTTCTTATCTCTTACTCGTTTCACTTATTGTACGAATAGTTCTTTAGGTAAAATCTATAGCTAATATAAAACGATTTTAGTAGACATTGAAGTAGTTTGATTTGATCTGTCACATTTGATTTATCTAAAACTATTACAACAGAAACTATTATATATTACTGAAAGAAGTACTATCTGTTGTATATAAACTTTCATTGTGTATATATATATATATATATATATATATATGAAGCAGTTACAATCACAAACTCACAAAACAAAACAACAAGAAACTAAAATAACTAAAAACAATTGTACCTCACTTCAAGTGACCAAATAATAGATTTAAAATGTTTACACACTGTATATTGCTGTATTCTGTATATATACTGTATCACTGCTCCCCCTGGTGGAATTATTCTGCTATATACAAACATGAAAAATTGTTTAGGCCCGTGTTAATAGAATTTATAGCACAGCTTTATTTAAGAGTTTTTTCAAACTGTATTAAGATCGTCTGCACATCATGCATGTAATAAAACCTTGAAAATTTGTAAAACGTATTTTAAAATTTCACGCTAACCCGGCAAAGAACCCAATTCCAGAGTTCCAAACATCACTAAATGAACTCACCACAAGGCGGCGTTACTTTCCCTACTTCCACTGGAACAGGGCCGCAACTGGAAAAAGTTGAAGCTGCTGTCCATCGACTTTGATTTTATTGTTTTGATTTTGATTTTATATAAAAAGCTTTTATAAGCTATTATAAAGCTATTATAATCTATTCCTTTACATTAATTAATTATTAATGTAGAATGATTAAGTAGAACATTCATTCTGGTAGACAGAATGGTTCACCTAATTACAGAACCAACAATATATATTGTTAAGCTTCTTCTTTTTTTTTTTTGGAGGGCTCTTGGATATGTCATAGCCTGCCTATGCACTGATTTTCAACATACCATGTGTCCTGTCTGAGACTCACCTTTTAGCCATGATTTCATTTAAATGAAGGTCAGTACATTCAACAAAGGTTGATGAAAGCCTTATAGTGACAGCTACTATCTATTTACACAGCCACCTTACAATTTAGAGATTTATGGATCAGTCAGTGAAAAAATGTCAGTCTTAAATCTGTTAGAAGTTAGCATTTTCTAGCAATGAGAATCCAACCTGTTGCTACACTTTTGAATGAAACTAAAACGAAAGCAAAAAGCTGTTAAATGGTGCAACATTAATCTCAGGAGACACATGATTTCGGTCACTCTGTATTTAGTCTACACAACAGGCGAGTTTCCTGTAAACAGATCTTTCCTCAAACATTGTATTACTTTAATGATGGTCTGAAATCTTCTGGATATAAAAAAAACACCACTATTATAGCTATATTTAAATCATAAAGTCATACACAAGCACTAACTTAAAAGTGAATCTGAACTGACCAGTGAATATAAGTATATTAAATAAAAGGTTTTGTTTACCTCAGATAAAACCTATCACTTTCAAGAAAACTGAGTGAACTCATTGCTTACATGAACTACCATTCAAAAGTTTGAAGGTTTTTTTTTTTTTTTTTTAATGTTTTGGAAAAAAGTCTCTTATACTCACCGAAAAAAATTATTTGCTCAAAATACACTAAAATAGTTATACAGTGAAATATTATTACAATTTAAAATAGCTGTAGGGGTGAATTCAGATAAATTGGGATACTTTTTGCCATTGAGATGATTGAGAAAAATGTCCCAGTTAACCCAAAGGCCTATTATAAAATGTTATTTATTCCTGTCATGGCAGACCTGAATTTTCTGCAACCATTATTCCAGTCTTCAGTGTCACATGATCCTTCAGAAATCATCCTAATAAGCTGATTTGCTGCTCAAGAAACATTTCCTATTATTACCAATATTAAAAACAGTTGTTCTGCTTAATATTTAATATAAACAGCGACCCCTTTTATATATATATATATATATAAAGACATTCAAAAGAACAGCATTTTCAGCCAAGAAGATTAATGTAAGAACAACGTAACAATATCAAACAGTAGTAAACCAAGCCCAATGGTACTTAGTTTTTTTTTTTAATTGCTTTTTGCTATTAAATTGCAAGAGATTGATCAGAGATGTATCAGAAGAAGGGAGACAGATGGCATCAAATACAGCATTTTACATTACATTATGCCATGTGATACTGTATATAAAAAACAGTTGTTCTGCTTAATATTTAATATAAACAGCGACCCCTTTTTTATATATATATATAAAGACATTCAAAAGAACAGCATTTTCAGCCAAGAAGATTAATGTAAGAACAACGTAACAGTATCAAACAGTAGTAAACCAAGCCCAATGGTACTTAGTTTTTTTTTTAATTGCCTTTTGCTATTAAATTGCAAGAGATTGATCAGAGATGTATCAGAAGAAGGGAGACAGATGGCATCAAATACAGCATTTTACATTACATTATGCCATGTGATACTGTATATAGAAGCATTATGTGAAGACTGCACATTACTATAACTCACCCTTCATCTCAAAAATTCAGCTAGAATATAGATTCAGTCATATGGCACAGTGAGGACATTTACTGCATTGACAGTAAACCTTATGGCCATGTCATGCCTTCATCACACCTTTTGATAACACACTAGATAAATACTTTTACAAACATTATTGATTTTATGTGAGATATGCAAGTTGCAAGGTAATGTAAGTGTATTTTCTAACATGACAGTTATTGCCTGCATTACTGTAATTATTTCAGTGACAAAGGTGATTTGAAACATGAATCTTGCATTGTTTGCTCTTGAATGAACTGATTGTTAAAAGTACTAAATTGAAAGAAGATCACAATGTTGCATTTCAGTGATTAAATCAAATGTTCTTGATATATATTACAATAATCTTAAGTTTTGAAACAATGATTGTGTTGATGAAAATATGTGTAATTGTAATGAAAGCATGAGATCAGGTTACAAGTGTGATCAGTTTGGATTTTTGAAATTATACACCTTGTGAAAATAGTACAGCATAGCATAATAAATGATCAGCATAGCAATTTTAGTGTAAAAATGTAAACATTTAAAGGAATTTCTCTATGTCTTGGCATTTGGTTTGTCCCCCTTTTGCTTTAATGACAGCAGCACTTGAGTTTTGAATACAACCTAACGATCATGTTATCGAGCGTGAAATCATGAGATCAGGTTTTGAAAGAATGACTAATGGTGTTACAAGTGTGATCAGTTTAAATTTTGTCCTAAGAGTTTGGAAAATGTACACCTTACTTGTAGTACCAAATAGTACCAAACAAATTAAAAATAACTGTAATACCCCTCCTCTACCTCCATGCCATTCACACTGTTTCCACAAGCAGTTAACATGAAGGTAATGTTTATACACCTTTAAGACCCACATCTGTTCAAAAGAGCAACTGTCTGTAACTTCAACACTCAACTAAAGACATTAAAATGGACAGCAGGCTCAACAGCAAACCAGAGATTCGGTCTGCAACTCCACCAATGGAAGACAACAATAGCATGGAAGATAGTAGCCATAATGATGAAGCTGCCATTTCTTCTGCTCTGGAAACAGCTGGAAATGGAGATTCCTCACAACCACCAATGATTAGTTCCAAGTTACTGAGAATGCTGGAAGCAGCTACCGACCGGCGACCTGTGCTCGTAAAAATGCAGAACAGCGAGGAAGTGTTCGATGAAAATGATGGAGTCGTCAGTGAAGCACCAAGAACAAAAAGAGTAAGTGCTACTGAAGCTGAATAAATACAATGGATATTAAAGTATTGTTTAGTGTTATGCATTATAATGTAATAACAGACAAAATGTAAGACATAAATACAATGAACTAATTCTATAAGTCTCCCATATTTGTAATATTACTGTGTTCAGTGTGTTCCTGTTTCAAACCTTGCATCACAAAAGTAATGTAAACTTAGGAAAGGAAGAATCACGAGTTGTTTGGGTTCTTTACCACCATTTGTCCTTGAACAATGTACTTGATCCCTCGTTTTTTCAACAGGAATGCCCCTAGCGATAGAGCTGTCAATTTCCTGTTTTATACCAGATTCTGAAAGGGTTACATGTCTGTTCTGCTCATTGGAGGTCATAGAAGTACTGAGGTCAAAACTTGGAAAGGGAGAGCCAGGAATCTGAGTTGTTTAGCTTCTTTACCATTTGAAAATGGCACTTGATCAGTTGCTTCGATGAGAATGTCCTGTTAGCAACAGAACTGTCCATTTTCTTGATTTATACCAAATTCAGAAGGGGTTAAATGTCTGTGCTGAACATGAAACAGAGACCCATGAATCTGGGAGTTGTGTAGGTTCTTTAACACCAATTTGTCCTTGAACAAAGTGTTTGATCCCAGGATGCTTGAACAGGCATTTCCCTATAGCATCAGAATTGTCAATGTTCTGTTTTATACCAAATTCAGAAGGGGTTAAATGTTTGTACTGGAGATGAAACGGAGACCCATGAATCTGAGAGTGGTGTAGGTTCTTTACCAGCAATTTGTCCTTGAACAAAGTGCTCGATCACAGTTTGCTTTAACAGGAATGTCCCTAAAGTATCAGAGCTGTCAATGTCCTGTTTTATGCCAGATTCAGAAAGGGCTTAATGTCTCTGCTGGCCATTGGAGTTCACAGAAGTGCTGAGGTCAATCCTTGGAAATGGAGAGCCATTAATTTGAATTCTGACCTGAACAAAGTGCTTGATCCCCAGTTACTTTAATGGGAAAGTCTCTAAAGCAACAGAACTGTCAAAGTCCTGTTTTATACCAGATTTAAAAAGGGATAAATGTCTGTGCTGGTCAATAGTTGTTTTTTTTACAAGGTGGGTTAAGAGTACATATCTGGGTGTAGTAACCTAAGTAAATGCACTGGGTTTAAACCATAGACTGTAAAAAAAGATGGACGACGCATCTCCTATTCCTTCCACTATATAAAAGTGAAGCCAAAGCATCTCAGTATGGCCGCTGCCATCTTGAGTAAATGAGGTCATTGGAGCCAGAGTCTGCGCAGTAGAGATTCGTTTGGAGCCAGAGTCTGCACAGTAGAGATTCGTTTGGAGCCAGAGTCTGCACAGTAGAGATTCGTTTGGAGCCAGAGTCTGCACAGTAGAGATTCGTTTGGAGCCGCTTCACTTTTCAGGACGTGTGAGGCACACCCGGTTTAAACATCAAAAAGCCATTGAGTTTCCTTACCTCCACTGTGTCCTTAAAGACTGACCCCAGGTTGTGGCAAGGTGACCGTCTCTGTGAGAAGCAAACTGGCTTCTTTATACCACATATGGTAGGGGTAAATAGAGTTTCTGGTGTGGTTAATTAAATGTTCTGGGTTTAAATCCTGGGAAGCATAAGCCTTGAGTTGCCTTGCCTCCATTTTGCCCTTGAACAAGGCATTTGAGAACAGCAAATAATTTTGGATACAATATGCCTGCTAAATGACGTGTAACCGAATAACCTGTTCTTGATCATCATTAACAACCCTGAACAGAGACGTGGGCTGAACACAGACCAGTGCCCTTAAAACCACACAGTAGCAGCTCAGTGGCACTGGGCCAGAATTAATAGATGACTTGTGGGAACTTTTGTGACCTCACAGACTTTAATCATTCATTGTCGAATCACGTAAGCGGACAGAGAGCTCTGAATTTATTGTACAGGCTTTGGTCTCACAGTGTAGGATTTCATCTGACAGTGGACCCATGCTTCTCTAGCCTGCTCATTTAACATAATTACTGTTATGGTTCAGCCTTTAAATGCTTACGTGGGAGTTATTCTAAGCATTTCTCAAGAGGATCAGACACCATGAGGAAAGTCTACAACCTGGTTAGTCTCACTAAAAACAGGGAATCAAAAGATGCTGTGTTATCTCTTAACATCAAGGTATTTCCAGAAAAGCTTTTTCCTAGAACTAGGTCATAAGATTTAAACATGAAGCACTGAAACAGATATTGTTTCCTCTTGTGGGTTTTGGTAGAAGTTTATATTCATTAATTTAGTCATTTTGTCCTGAGTGGTGTTATGTTATTGGTTTATTGAAAATGACTATACAAATTTCATTTCTAACCCCAGAGTAGATTGTATTTCTGTTTTTATTTACCTTATTTATATTACCTGGTGCTCAAGTTAATTTTTATTAATTACTTGCTAATATAGTTAAGCAGTATCAGCACTTTGAAATATAATCACATTTTTGCTGGCAGATAAATACAATGGGACTACTAGTGCTAACCCTAACAAACAAACTCATAATTATGATGCCATGTTTAATTTCAAGTTTTCTTTCGTTATTTGTTTGTTTATTGTGTGTTAGTGAGCAAGTGATAGTTACTGCTTATTTGGTCTCTTAGATCTCTTGTCTGTATCTGAAACGTATATGTTTTTGTGTATTTATTGTGTCCTAACACTATTTTAATATTTCTACCATTAGATATGAGTCTACTTTTAGAATAAAGGGGTTATAATTATTCTATTATTTTGAGAAATCAGTTTAAGATTTTGGTTTTCTGCAGGAAATGGTTGCATTCGCGTTCAAATGTCAAGATTTGTAATTAGATAAAAGGTTGAAAACTATTCTGAGAAATTAAAATGTTTTGGAGTAATGCATTTGTATAAATCGAATACTACATATAAAATTATATCAAATGCATTTTTATATAAAATACATATTTGAGGCATTTTAAATAGATTTTATATTAAATATACAACAAAATATAATTGTTTTTTCCTTAGCAAATCCAGTATCCTGAGCAGACACGAGAATTCGACAGTCGATTAACAAAGACGGGACGCCGCTCCCTGTCCCACTCCATTTCTCATTCCTCTACAGACAGCAACAGCTCAGGTCGATGCCACACAAATTCCCTCAAACTGGAAAATGTATATTATTGGTAGTTCTTTGTATTTTCATCGCAATCTTTGATCCCATTTTACTTTCTCATTTCGTTTCTCATTTTTCAGGGGGTTCAGATGCAGAAAATCCAGAAGATGAGGTCTCTCCTCGAGACATGCAGCAGATTAACTCTAAAGGGAGCAGGGACTTCTGCATCAAAAACATCAAACTGACAGACTTTGGCCGTCGAGAGATAGAACTTGCAGAGGATGGTAGGCATACAGTATGGTTTAAAACACATAAGCATTGTACAATATTCAAAAAGAAATTAAATAAATGTATGCATATTTTTATTAATTAAAGAGATGACTGCACTAATGGCCTTGAGAAAAGCTACCCAGGTTGAGAAACCATTGGCAGGGGCTAAAATAGTGGGATGCACCCATGTCACGGCCCAGACAGCTGTAAGTGTCATCCCTTCACGGCATTTTAAATGTATACTGTATCATGCTAAAAGAAAAAAAAAAACTCATACAGAAACAAAACCTACAAAACCTGTTTTACAAGGTCGACAGCACCAATGAAACATGAAACCCACAACACGTCCCATATCCCCCTACCTCAGCTGATTATATCATACAAAAATAGATAAATAAGAAAATATAAGTACTGTTCAAACTACTGTTGTACTGTTGATCGCTGTGTAAATGTGGAGGGCTGGGAGCCAAACATGGTACAAGTGCCTTCAGTGATATGGGACCACTTTCCCTCCAAGGATCAATAATGTCTCTTATCTTGTGTTTTCACCTGTAAATAGAAGTTAATTAATGGTCTTTTCTAGATCCTCGATGATGGAGGGGATATGACACATTGGATATACAAGAAATATCCTCACCTCTTCAAGAAAGTGAAGGGTATTGTTGAAGAAAGTATCACAGGCATTCACAGGTTGAGTCACTTTCTAATCCTTGTTATTTGTTACATTTGGTTGAGAGATGACTACATTGAACTGACACTTGAATTGAAACTTACAGCTTTGCAAATGTTTTTGCATCACATTTATCAGACTTCATCACCTCTCTAAAGCTGGAAAACTATGTGTACCAGCCATAAATGTGAATGACTCGGTCACTAAGCAAAAGTTTGACAATCTCTACTGCTGCAGGGAGTCCATTCTGGATAGGTAAGATAACGATACAAGTGTTTCTCCAATAAATTCACAGTATTTATATGATTAAACCTACTTTCTGTCTTGTTCCTATTCTCTCAGTCTGAAAAAGACGGCTGATATCATGTTTGGGGGAAAGCAGGTGGTCGTATGTGGATACGGAGAGGTACGTCTCCTGATTCCAATAAATGATGGTTTCTATTGTCAATATGCCACTTGAGAGCGGTGTCTATCACCTGCAATAGTTTAGTACTGGCCTCTGTTTTGTGTGCGTAAGTGAAAATATTGGTGCCCACAGGTGGGAAAAGGTTGTTCTGCAGCTCTGAAAGCAATGGGGTCTGTTGTGTATGTAACCGAAATCGACCCCATCTGTGCTCTACAAGCATGGTAAGATATTAGTTATTTGAAAGAAACTATCCAGAGAGTTATATTTTCCACAGTATCACCCCTGACAACCAATTGTATTTCAACTAGCATGGATGGCTTTCGATTGGCCAAACTAGGTGATGTTGTCAGACAAGTGGACATGGTCATCACCTGCACAGGCAAGTTGCGCAATAATATCATAAATAAAGTCTTTGCTGTAATATTACCTTACACTGTTTGCTTTGACAGCTGACCCTTTGTCTACACAGGTAACAAAAACATTGTAGTGAGGGAACACATGGACCTAATGAAGAATGGCTGCGTTGTCTGCAACATGGGACGCTCTAATACAGAAATCGATGTTGTAAGTGGCTGTAGGACGCGATAAAACACACGATTAGTGATGACAATTGAATGCTTGAAATTTAATTGGTTGCATTTCTTGTCATTTGTGTTAACTTTTGAATTTTCAGAGCAGTCTAAGAACCCCAGAGTTAGTATGGCAGCATGTGAGAGCGCAAGTGGAACACATTATTTGGCCTGATGGCAAGAGAATACTACTCCTTGCAGAGGTGAGAGAATACAGAATACTACTAAAAATATAAAACAGAAACATATTTACCTTATTTTTCAGCACGTTAGGAACAATTTGTGCTACGAAGCAGTGGATCTAAGAGCATGTCCTACTTGTGTAAATCATGTTAAGCTATAATCTACATTTCCTCATTACAAACCTCATGGCATATTGGTCATTAATGTTAATGGCATAGTTACTGTTTTACCATTTGATTCTAGGGCCGTGTCCTTAATCTAAGCTCCTCCACTGTACCCACATACGTGCTTTCCATCACAGCCACCGCACAGGTATGAAAGCAGTTTGCTAATACATGAATTTCAATGAGGTTTTAAGTTGGTAGCCTAAAGGCTAAAGTTCTTCTTTTACGTAGCCTAAATATTAAAGACTAACTGGGCATAGCAATAAAACTTTTAAAAGAACATTTGCATTTAGTACGACACAATGTAAATGGGAAGCATGCCAGCCTTGGGCTATAGTTGGGTTTGAAACTGTTTTGTGGATAGTGAATGGATAGGTTGTCTCTTCAAATTTGTTTCCATGTTTAGCCTTCTGTATACTTTTTGAAGGCTTTGGCATTGATCGAGCTCTTCAATGCCCCTGAGGGCCGTTACAAGCAAGATGTCTATCTCCTTCCAAAGAAACTGGGTAACAACGCAATGGACTGCCAGAATTCAATATTTTTCATCCATATTTCATAATCTACCGAATCATATTTGGATAAAAATGACATCACAAACTGATTGAGTATTTTGTGTACCAGATGAGTATGTTGCAAGCCTGCACCTGCAGACCTTTGACGCACACCTGACTGAGCTCACCGATGAACAAGCCAAATACATGGGCTTGAGTAAATACGGCCCCTTCAAACCCAGTTTCTACAGGTGATGAATTAAATTATTGCAATGATAGATGTGTTGTGTGAAACATTTAACACCTGCTTTGTGTTTTGGTTTGTTTTTAGGTATTAAGTCTCAGTGAAACTCAGATGGACAGATGGATCTGTGGGCAGAAACCCACAGATTTGACTCAGCGGGGATTTCATTCATCCTGCTTTTCACCAACACATGATATTACTGGCTTGACCATTAAGGGTCAGAGTGTACAAATATAAAGTGAACTATAGCACTTTTTCCTCTTGCTATTGTAATGCTAACCATTTTAGAAAAGGTGTCAATTCTGGTTGTATACAACATACATTACCACTAAAACTTCCACAAAATAAATAAATACATAAAGGTAAAATAAAACGCAATAAATGAACATAGCATGCTACAAGTATGTTATTTAGACCCTTGCATAGTTCTCTAATAAAACACTGTATTTACTTCAAAAATATAAAACCTGACAGGGCAAAACCACTGTTTTTGCTACGAATGACACAGATAACATTATTCCTAAAACACTGAACTTAACATTACACATGAAAACTGGAAACACAAACTGACATTATAGAATGGGAAATGACTCACTTTAAGTCCAGTAAAGGGGTAAAAGGTAAGAATTATAGAGAGAACATCTTCTGTCCTTCAATCTTGAAGTAGGGAAAAATTCCTCAATGTGCCTCTAGATGGAGGTCATGTAAAAGAGAGTAAAGCTTTGGCAAATAAGGCAAAGAAAGACAGGGATATTTGGTTGTCTAGTGGCAAGAATCTTGTTGGATCTCAATTGGTTTGCAAGAGATAAATTTTGTTGATTATACTTTTCCTGCACTGTATCTTTTGTGTCCAAGTAGTTTAATAAAGGCATTTTAAAGCAGCTGAAAGATGTGGTTTTCACGTGCAACCGAAGCTTCCTTTTTCTGTTACAAAATATAAATCTCTTACAAATATGGTTGACCGAGTTTTAGTTTACTACTGATAAGGAAAAGAAAGGGTTTGGTAATAAATAAGTCTTTTTATTATATGAAAATTGCTTGTATAAACATAGAGAAATTATAAATATATTTATGACCACAAATTCAAGCCTTTAAAACATACACAGAAAAAGCATGTGCTTTTTTTTAACATGCTGAAACTATTTAGCATATGCACGACTGACGTAAATGATTAAAGAGATCACCCAAAATTTAAATTCTGTCATCATTTACTTACCCTCAAATATCTTCCTTTATTTTACAAGAAAACAGGAACGACATCAAGGCGAGTAAAGTGAGTAATCAGTAGTGATGACAGGATTTACATTTTTGTGTGAACTATCCCTTTAATCATCTCGTTAAAGACATTGACACATATATTTGCTGTGTCTTTGTATGCATAACAATGTTATGTTGTTTGAAGCGTGCCTCTAACATATTTTGTTCATGGGTCCCCTGAGCTCTGACCGCATAGCTCAAGTGGTTTCTGCCCTAAATATAGAGTTGGCTTTTCCCCACAATGTCAAATGTAGCTTGATTCTATAAGTTAAGTCACAGCACGTCAGTTGCTGGCTGACCGGCTGAGTTCCTCTCACTCTGTGCCACACTGCCTGATGGAGTCTGTGGGAGTGCTATGCAGCCCCACTGGGGCCAGCTCCAACCTACTGAGCTTGCCGGCATCCTGCCCCTGGGATGAGGATGAGGAGTCACTGGGTCTGGAAGGAATCAAGCCTAAATCTTCACCCACACCGAGACGACGGAGTTCAGCGTCCTCCGATGACTCCCTGCCTCCCCCTTCCAGCAGCCGAAGAGTGTCCTTTGCTGATGCCTTTGGTTTGAGTCTTGTCTCAGTGAAACAGTTTGATGCTTGGGGAGTAACTGAACCATCAGGCTCTCTGGAGAGAGACTTGAATGAAGATAAGGAGTATTACATGGTCCCTCTCTTCACTCTTCCACAGACCTCTGAGGAACTAGCCTTGCGGGTTCACGAGCAGAAGCTAGAACTGGAGAGTTTGGAGTTGCTTTCTGGGACCACCACCCTAAGAGGAATCGTTCGTGTGCTGAATATTAGTTTTGATAAGATGGTCTATGTGCGTACCTCTTTAGATTCCTGGAAAAGTCATTTTGATCTGTTGGCAGAGTACGTACCTGGGTCAAACAATGGTGGGGCAGACTGTTTCTCCTTCAAACTCACACTAGTACCCCCATTTGGAGAAGAGGGTGCTAGGGTCAACTTCTGTTTGCGATATGAAACATCTTTAGGCACTTTTTGGGCAAACAATAATGAAAAGAACTACTGTCTGTTTTGTTGTGAAAAAATGAAGGAGAAACCCCAATATGAGAGTGAAAACAGAAGAAAAAGCTGTCTGAAAACAACCCGGTTAGAGGTCACCAACACATCTGTTGCATAAATAGCAATGAATGTCAAAAGAAACATTTCTAAAATATTAATATGACTGTACTTTTATCAAATTTATAAATAATGCATACTAAAAGACTTGATAACAATTGATACAGTTTTTAAATGCCAGAGTTAATATATGCTTAAAACTACAATACTAAAGTGGAACTCAATTAATTATGCAACAATATACATACTGCCTTTTCCCCAATTCTTAATTTTATAATTGTATAATTTTCCAGCCTAAATGTCTCTGCTTCGACTGTTTCAGCAACAAACAATGAAGAATTTCCTGGTAATTGTCCTCCTGAAAATTACTTACAACTAGATTTGTAAATACTATGAAATTCTGATAAATACATGTTTTGTTTCCTCAGATATAAATCAAAATTCTGGATCTCTAAAGGAAAACTCTGAGAAACTTGAAAGCAAGGAATTAGTGGTGAGTTCTAAATTTAACCAAAGATTCAACCACTATATCAACTAATTGTGTGTTTTAATGAAACAATGCATTTTTAGTATAAAATTATATAGTGAAAACAATTTTATAAATTGTGCTATGTCACTGGCTACTCTCTCTGAATGTCATGCGGTTACTGATGTTAGGCTTTGACAAGTGTTAGTGTAACATTACAGTATGTACTGTCCCAAACAAGACACTTGATAGGTCATGTTGTTCAGGGTCACTCTGAGACCATCAAGTTATGTTGTTAAAAGTAAAAAAAAGTCAATGAGCCTCATTCACTAAGCATGCGTATTGTGTACAAGTCCTTGTATGGAGATAGTCTGGGCGTGTTTTATGCAAATTACAAACCTTGTGCACGCGGCGGCTCATTTGGAGTTTTCGTGAGAAGTTCGAATGTGTGTATAAATGCGAATAATCTACACAATTATTAGTGAATGAGACCCAATGTCTTAACTAAACCTATATTAAAAGTTAAAAAGGTATTTCGATAAGATCTTTAAAGTTATTCTTTAAATTGTATTTACTGAAGACAGCATTCCATTCAGTATTTTTCACATCTATCTCTTTGGAAACAGGAGGAAATGAACAGAAACCGCAGCCGAAGAAGCAGAAGAAAGGCTGCGCGATTAGCAAAAGTCAAGGAACACTTTGCTAAGAGGGAAGAAGAAAAGAAACAAGGGACCAAGACCAAAGAAAGTGAAGGTACAGCAGACACCAGCATGCAGGAACATGCGTCATTGCTGAAGAAGACACCATGCAGTTCCCTATCACAACAAACTGCTCGACCACCAACGTGTAACCAAATATCACCCTCTCCAGCTGAGTCCCTTAAATCTGCTGAGTATAGTGGAGATTCCACTGACATCGTCAGCCAAGCTATAACACAAGATGAAGAAGACAACATAATCCACTCCGAGACTAATTTATCCACAGCAAACACAAATTTACCCCTGGAAGACTCCATCAGTTGTGATGAATCAATTGCATGCTCGGCTTCTGAGGTCTTGGAAGACATCCAACATACCGAGTGCATTACTGACCAAACAGTTTCAATCAATCAGGCTGTTCCTGTATGTCAAAATCCTGACTTGTCTATTAGCAAGGATGTTAAAAAAGCATGGAAGGAATTTGAGAAGGATGCTAAGCAAAGAATTAAAAGTTTGGCACTAAGCTCTAAGATGCATGAGGACATGAATATTAGCGATGGGAAACCAAAAGAGGATGTGAGTTTGAAAACTAATTCAGAGCCTCAGCTGTGCTCCCATGGCTTCACATTTGGGACCATTGTAGCCCCACTTTATCATCAGGTTTTTAAAAACATGGAAATAGGGAGAAAAGACTTCTTTCCTAAAGCTTTAGATAGGTCATTTAGGAAACTAGAGGATGAGAGTCAAAGAGCGGTCACAGCCCCTGAGACCACAGACATTTGGCCAGTCTTGCATATCTACAAAACAGACAGTAGATGATAGTAATGTTGGCATCTGCAAAGAATCAACAGAACAGAACTCGCAACTTGCAGTAAACCCAACCAAAAAACCTCTTCCTGAGCCAAATGAGAGTAAACATGTTAAAAACGCAGAAGCGTCTTACAATCAAAATGATTGTACCAGTAGTACCAGAGAATACCCAAGAGACATCACATTTATCGAAACAAACCCTCCAAAAGTTATATCCAGACAGGTTTCAAGAGTGTGCACACTCACAGTCACATTAGCTTTGACTGAATGCTCTATCCAGGATGATCCTTGCCAAAGTCTGTGTTTATTTCCTCAACAAGGACCAGAATTGTAGTCACTACAAATCAAACAATAGAGTCAGGTACTGACAGCCTACCTGAACAGATTCATCCATCATCACCCACAGCAGTTTTGAAAACTTCATGTTTGGATAATCAGAGGTCCTGTATAAAAACTGAAAATTCACAGAACCAGGAGGACCCTACAATTATCCACACCAAAGAGGAGAATATATCCAAGCAAACAGAATATTCAATCAGCACTTCTTGCTTTCTAGCCCAAGCTCCAGAGGACCCCACAAGAAGCACTTTGAGTTCCTCTGATGATAAATTAGAGCCTGACTGCTGTGAGATGAGATCGAGCATTGAAAAACTTAAAGAACTCTCTCACTTAGGAATAGCAAAAGCTATGCCAATAGAACCATTGGAGAACACACAGATAAATATGAGCAATACTTTGGAGAGCTACCAAATGAATGAAAAGGAGGAACAAATACTCATGGGTTTTTCTACACAGACTTCAGAGACGGAGAGCTCCAACACTATTAATTTTGATGCAGAACATAACACATCAGTGATTAAAGAGATGGAAGAGATTCACAAAATGAAAAATTATGAAAGCCTGGAAGAGCGAGAAGAGGGTAATGGAAATCAAATTAAGCAGATGGAGAAGCAGAAACAAGACAAAGAGGAGAAAGACCAAGAACCAGAGGAACAAGAAGGTGCAGAAGAAAAACATGAAAGTAAAGGAAGAATCAATAGCATTGAAGAAGAGTTGAAATACATAGATGATGAAGAGGACTTGGATGCAATGGAATCTGAGAAAGAAGAGAAACAACAAGCAGATGAAGATGATCTGCTTTCTCTTGAACAAGATTCAGAGGAACAGAAGCAGATCATTAGTACCAGCACTGTTGAATCATTACCACATAATATTGACTTAAAAGGAATAGAAAGTCTAGGCAAGTACTCTGAAAAAGAGGACATTCACGTCAACCTTGGATTAGAGATCTGTGAGGAAACTGTTGCATCTTGGCAAGAATCATCTCAAAAGAGTGATATCGAACTCAGTGGAAGTACGCAAGCTATGGAGAATGATTGGAACCGTTTTGAATTTATTGATAAAGAAGAGAATGTGTCCTATGAAAGTATGAAAAGTGACTGGAAAACTATTGACGATGTAAACAATATGCTGGAAAACATGGAATGCCTGGCAAAAGATGTTGAAGACAATACCTCAACAGAATCGCAGATAGATGACGAGATGGAGCTGTACTTGAACAGTCTGAGAAATTCACAACAGTCAGTATTCAGAGAAGGTGCAATGAGTGGAAGCTACGGAAAAAGACCCTCCTTGAGCAGAGGGAGGCCATTAGCTATGCCTTCAATCTCAGAGTCTATGGACGAGGACCAGCCGAATAGTTCCCTAGAGGATTTAACAAACATGGAGTACAACATGGAGCTGGAGAGAGCTACACTGCCCCTAGTGGATGGGATTGAACATGTCATTGGACGTGATGTCTTGTGGTGGAAAGAGTTTCTGTCCTATGACAATATGTCAAGGGTGACTGGATACACATTTTTGTTGATAGTGTTTTTAGTCACAGCATATTATTATGACTTCATTGCATGTTTTGCTCTATATATTATTACAGTGTATTGGCTGTTCCATCAAGGGGAGGAAGAACCACTGAAAACCTTTCGGAAAGGTGAAAGAGGACTGCAGTAAATATGATTTACTCATGAACATTTGTTGGAGAACTTGTGGAAGAATGTGGAAGTGAATCCAAATAGTTGCTGCACAACAAAATTGGATTATGTGGGGCTATTTATCTCTCAAAATTTCATAATGGCAAAGACATGATTATAAGATGACTTTTGTAGAATGATGGATTGTGAATAAACTTTTACATTAATTTGCCATTTGACATTAAGTCAATAGGTATATTTCCTTGCTTTACAGACAACATAAAGTTTGCATATCACAATGCTCTTTAAAAAGAGCTGAACATACAGCAAGAGATCATATGGGGTCTGTAGAAATGGTTGGGTTCTGTGCTAATGGTGCCTGGTACAGTGATGTTTAAAGGACCAATGGGTGAGTGAAACGTTTGACCGATTATAGAGGATTAGTCTTGAAAAAAGGATTAGAGTGCAATTTCACTGACATACTTTTATGCATAGCTTTAATTTCATGCTAAGTACCTGATTGGATTATGATTTATATACATATAATGCATACACAAAACACATAACCTGTTAACTATAACCTGTTTTTTTTTTTTTAAATAATCATCTTGATTTTTATGTCTAATATATATTGGCAAAGAAGGCAATAAGATGAATGCCCACGTAACATCTGAAGTGATGATAAAAATGAAATGAAATGCATTTTCTGTTGCAATTATTTAACAAACATTTTTCCTTACTTGGTCGTACAAGTTTATTAGTTACTTTGTTTGTTAATTTGTCTGGTCTGTTTACAGTAAAACTGTTGGAGACTACCTTTTTCTAAAGACATCAAGGATCAATATCCTCTTTTGTTTCAATATACCTAACGTTATGGTCTTAACATCTCCAACCTGCCAGCTTTTGCTTCATAAGGACAGAGGTGTCATATGGCACAGGTGTGTAAACATAATGAATAAACCATGTAAAGTAAACCATAACTTCCATCATTGTGCACTCAAAATAGATAAGATTTATTGATTTTTATTTCTTTGGGGTGTCTGTAAATTTGCTTTGTCCAATCAACAGATTACTTTATTGTAATTCAATATTGTGCACCTGTTATTATTTCAACAAGTTGTCTTTATCTTGTCCATTTATTGTTAGACATCTTTCATGGAACTGGCTTTCAATGAACAAACAGATGAACTGTGATCTCATCTCCAGGTTATTAGGCTCTGCAGTTCACAGAAATAAATCTGACCACAGATCTCTCCAAATAGACTCCTTTTTTAGCTGTAGATATTTTAAGAATGTTTCAGTTGCTTCTGGCCATACAGTGAAAGTCATTGGGGTCCATAGCAACATCGGACCCAAATGAATTTAATTGTATAGACCCAAAAAAAAAAAAAAATGTAATTAATGAATTAATTATTTTTAAAGTCATTTTTCAAAATATTGTATTTTGTGTTCCATAGAAGAAAGAATGCATAAGGGTGAGTAAATTACATAATTTTCACCTTTCAGTGAACTTTCCCTAGGGTCATCTTTAGAACACTATAATCTCATGGCTAGATGAATGACTGCATATTTATAAATTGATAGAATAAGAAACATTGTAGTTCATGAGGGAGGAGTTGAACATGGTAACTATTATGGGATTATCACTCCCTCTAAATGGGATGGAACTACATGATGACATTTTCAAACCCAAGAGGACACACAATGGCATTGTGGCTCCAGGCTTGCTAATTTATGGTTGATGCACCATGTAGGCTACTGACAAGATAATATGCTTACATATATGATTAATCCATTTTTGACATTTTTCCCAATGTTAAAAAGTGTCCCACTTTACCTAAATTTACCTCATATATCTTTCGCTATGAGAAATTGGCAACAGCATCACCAATGTCATACTGTAGGCTACATTATAGTCATTTTTAATAAATGGTTTTGACATGATTCATCATAATTCGAAACTACTGCAAAATAACTCATTGGATCAGATCAGAGCCGTTGAAAAATATTCTTCAACGGCTCTGGGTCAGACTAGTTCTGGTATCCACTGGGTTTAGTGAGGTTTATAATACTCCCAGAGTAACCCAGACCTCTGTGGGGTGAAACATGACAGAACTCACGTTCTCTTCTCGCCACAAAGGATTCTGTGTCAGAGCGCGGTAATGTGACCCACCGATGTGATTCTCACGAGTCACGACCAAACGCTAGAAAGACCTATGTGGATTATTGTTAGCAGTGGGACTCCCCGCGTTGACCGCCCCTGTATTCGTAATCCAGTCAGTGTAAATGTAAACATCTACTATGGAGCGAAGGAAATCTGTGAATACACACACACACACACACACACACAGTATGTTTATACAATTAAATGTGTGTGTGTGTGTGTATATATATATATATAGTATATATACAGGTATATACATACATACACACACAGTATTATTTATACAATTAAATTTATATGTATACATATACTATACTAAATAATAGCTTTATAGTCTTATTAGTCTAAATTTGGCCTATATGCCTTTTATGAAGGGCCAATCCGTTATCTGAAGTATTCTTATTGTTAATTATTTTATTAACAGCGGTAACAATAACGATATAAATCATCAAATTATTATTTTAAATAATATTTTAAAATAATTCATATTACATTTGCAAACATCTAGGCTATATAATTAATTGCATAGAATAATACTGCACATACTATCCATAATGATGGTTAATAACAACAACAACAACAATAATAATAATAATTATTATTATTATTATTACTATTATTATTATTATATGTAATATAATACAAGTTGTATCATTAAGTTATCATAATTTAATGATCAAACTTAATTATCAACTCTTCAGAGAGTTTGATTTGAGTTTGAGGCGTTTGATTTTCAGCGTTCACAGATTTTTCGCGCACTTCCGGCACGTTCGCTGGAGACTGGAGAGGCGCAATCAGGCTGCGCGTTGTTGCGGTGCGTGCGTGCTGACGGAGCCGGTGCGCCGGTAGCCTCAGTGCTGTACTATGGACCAGCGGAGCAGCGCTGAGACAGAGCCGGATCTCTCCGTCGCGACGGAGCTGCAGTGCAGGAAGCAGGAGCAGGAGAAGCTGTCGGGGGTGGTGAAGAGCGTGCACCGAAAACTCCGCAGGAAATACATTGAAGGTACTGCATGAGATACGTAGCTGTGTAGCCTAGCCTAGACCAGCTTCTGTAGTCTGGCCTGATCAGAGATGCGGACATTTAAACGCCTGGAAAACAACCGCGAACCTACGAGAACAAAAACGAGTTAATAAAACAGTTATTTTAATGTAAACTTCGGTTGCATGACTGTTGACATGAACTGATTTCGTACTTGGCTCATTTTGGAAATCATTGGTTGTGGCTCAAAACCTAGTGAGCTGCCTACATAGACAGCATTTTGGGTAACATTTCAATAGACTGTTCCGAACGCACTAAAATAATGCTGTCTATGTAGGCAGCACATTAGGTATTGAAACAGCCTCTTTCTGTCTGTCTGTAGCACGACGTTATAGTCTAGTCCGCAAGCCTGTGCAGGGTCGTTCATCTGTTCCTGTTTTGCTCTTCATTGATCCGATGGCTGTGTTTGAAAGAATAAACAATTTTCAATTCTCTTTAGGGAAGTAAAAGGCAATAAAGCAAGAATTTATGAGCATGAATCCCCTGACTGTGTACAGGTGACAAGTGTGCTGCTCTAAAAGCTTTAGTGTCCTCTTCACTGTCAATTATTTATCCATTTATTGTTTAACACCTTTCTTATCTAATGACCTAATACACCTATGATAAATAATGGTCAGCTGACTAATTTTTAGTGTGTCTACTTGCTGGGGATGGTATAGTATAGGCAAAATATGTATATATAGCGTGTTTTTTTTGTGTTTTTTAAACTTTTAACATTTGGTTTAAGGATAAATATATTAAAAGTACAAAAAATAAGTATTAAATAAGTGAACTGGAAATTTAATTCAACCAGGTATCAACAGAAGAATTGCAATCAGGAAGAGTTAGAGCTGACGTCAATTATATTGGTTTCAGTGTGACAATGTCACTGTGGTTATGAGCACTTGTGGTGTAAATCTGGATTTTTTTTTAGTTGCCTACTCTTTAGTACACTAGGTCCTCTCCTCAGTTGACTTTCCTATTAGAGATTTTAGCATGTTATTTTTTTAAAGTGTACCTAAAAAAAAACAAAATTCACTGATAGTGTTCTGACTTAAATATCTAGTTAAATATCTGCATCCAGTCTTTTTTTGGCAACCTTAGAGGTCTTGGCCTTCTCCACTGTATATAAAACAAACATGCAACCAAACATACAACACTGTCATCAACACATGTCATGTTGAAGGAAAGGGACCCTTCACCCAAAAATGAAAACTCTCAGCAAATCTCAAAATATCTTGTTTGATGTTCCACAGAAAAAAGAAAGTAATACAGGTTTGGAAAGAAATGAGGGTGAGTAAATGAAGACCGAATTTACATTTTTAGGTGAACTATCCCTTTAAGCACAGTCTATCACATTTAAAAATGCCATTTTGTACCCAGTTTTTGGAAAGTGCCTCTTATTATGTCTGATGAAGACTATGTCCCAAAAAATGATGTGTGCAAATTTTTAAAAAAGGATGTAAAAATATTATCTTGAGAATAGTAAGACAAATAGACCTAGTCTTTTTATTGATAGAGATAATTGACTGTGTGAGGATGTTGTTACATTTCCTGTTACAGTCTTGCACTGCAGTGAGCTTCATCCAAGACGGATATCATGACAGAGATTATGAAATGTTATATTTTTGCCTGCAATCAGTTGTACCCGCAGGACGCATAACTTAATATAAAATACCACCATGTTTATATCGTCTGACTTTAAATGTGTTGTTGAGTTTCTCATGGTTCAGACTAGCTTTATCGAATCTTCCCCCGAGAGGGATGAGCAGTGCTATGAATCCCACACACAGTAGTCTATTCACTAGACCCCGTGATGGGTTAATAAGGAAGGCGTGATCTGGTCTTCTTGTCATTGTACAGCAGTATTCATATGTAACGGCGCTGCAGTCTCTTCCCTTCTTGTCTTATTCTCTGTAAATCTGATAAGGCCTGTATTTTCCATTCTGTCATGGGACGGCTCAATTTTTGCCAGTTCTTGCCCTCCCGAGCACTCTTGTAGGGTAGCGGTTGCTTTCTGGTGTCATCGGCGTTATCAGCAAGTTTGTGAACTGTGTGTGAATCAGCACAAACACTTTGATCATACGGTACTTTTGAGCTTGGCGATGGAGTTTCACTGAGTTGTTGAAGAAATCGGACTGTGTTTTGTGAGCCGTTTGAGGCTACGGTTTCAGAATCGAAATTTAAAGGAAGCACAACATCAGCTGACTTTTGAAAGTAGGCTTTGTGAAAATGTTCACTTAGTTATGCCACGCAGAAGGATCAATCATGACTGTACGCTCCTCTGTTTTGTCTTTTCGACTGCAGTGGGAGATTTCGAGAAAATATGGCGTGAACATTGTGAAGACGAGCAGACTCTTAGCGAATATGCCATGGCCATGAAGAACTTGGCTGACAACCACTGGGCGAATAAATACGAGGGCGAGGGGCGCATCGAGTGGTGCCGCAGGTATGAGTGCTAATGGTTAGTATTTTATGTTGAATAGCTTATTTGGTATTTATTGCTGTTAAATCTCTCTTGCCGCAGTGTTTGCCAGAAGTACTTCCAGGATGGAGGGATGAGGCGAGTGTTGGAGAAGGATGAGAAAAGCGCTAGGCATGCCGCAGCTGGGAATAACACATCCGCAAACTCTCCACCACAGTTATCCTCTTCAAGGTGCTCTAGAATGATATTAACACTGCAAATCCACAAATTTAACAGATGGTAATGAGTTCATTGACTAAATCAGCTTTTTATTCATGCTTCGTAACAGCTCAACGTTCCAGCTTGGGAGGATACGACTGCTGGATGTGGGCAGCTGTTTCAATCCCTTCCTGAAGTTTGACGAGTTTCTGACTGTTGGAATCGACATTGTGCCAGCAGTAGAGGTTTGTGTTTCTTGAAGTTATATGAGACCGTAGGCTTGTTAATTAACTTAACAATTAATAAAATATTGTTGGCGCCAGTAGCCTTGTGAGCAGTGCGCCGACATACAGCGCCATTGCGCAATGGGTGTCCCGAGTTCGAATCCCGAATCGATGACCTTTCCAGATCCCGTCCCCCATTTCTCTCCCACTTCGCTTCCTGTCAGCTCTGATCTGTCCTATCATAATAAAGGCGAAAATGCCAAAAATAAATCTTAAAAAAAAAGTCAATAAATTAAGTATGTCATATACCCTGACTAAAGTTTGCTATTGGTTAAATTACATTGTTTCTTTGTCTGAATCTATTAATTTATTTATTCAAAACCTTAAAAATATGGCTTGAATACACCTCTTTATATTTTGAGGTTTTTTGGGCATCAATTTAAAAACTGTCAAAAATGTCAGGGTAGTACAACCATCCTGGCAATGAAGTATTTTATGCTCACCAGGGTTGCATTTATTTAATTAAAAAACGTTAAAAACAGGATTATTGTGAATATATTATTACAATTTAAAATAACTGTTTTCTATTTCAGTGTATTTTAAAATGTAATTTATTTCTGTGATGTAAAGCTGAATTTTCAGCAGCCATTACTCCAGTCTCCAGTGTCACATTATCCTTAAAAATCATTTTAATATGCAAGAAACATTTCTTCTTATCAATGTTGATTGCCGTTGTTCTGCTTAAATTTTTGAGGAAACCGTGATACATTTTTTTTTTTTGTGGACTAGAAAGTTTTAAAAAACAGCATTTATTTCAAATAAAAATGTGTGTATTAAATATTGTAAATGTCTTGACTATCATTTTTATCAATTGAATGCATTTTTCATATAAAAAAAAACTTTTGAATAGTAGTATAATGGTGACACCTTTTATAGTCATTAAATTGAAACTTTTGCAAAAAATGGTATAAATGTTTTTCAAAACCAGTATGAATACAAAAAGTAAATTTCTAGGAAATTACTATATAATACATGTATTTATATCCGTTATCTTGGACACTCTTTCTGTCATTGACCCTTGTACTAATTTTAACTGTCCTGCTGAGTCAAGCTAAATGTTCAGATTTTTTTGTTCCTCTTTATGGCTACAGAGCGTCTACAAATGCGACTTTCTGAACCTGCAGCTGCAGCAGCCTCTGCAGCTGGCCAGCGATGCCTTGGATGCCTTCCTGCGGCAGCTGTGCGGCCCCATCGATGCTTTACCTGCACAGTTATTTCACGTGGTAGTCTTCTCCCTGCTTCTCTCCTACTTCCCCTCGCCCTACCAGCGCTGGCTCTGCTGCAAGAAAGCACATGAACTCCTGACCCTGAACGGCCTGCTCCTCATCATCACCCCCGATTCCTCCCACCAGGGCCGGCATGCACTTATGATGCGCAGCTGGCGAGTTGCCGTGGAGTCTCTGGGCTTCAAGCACTACAAGTACGTCAAGTTCTCCCACATGCACCTGATTGCTTTCCGCAAGGTGTCGCCCACCACCAGCAGCGACCTGGTCAGCCGCAACTACCCGGAGATGCTTTACATCCCGCAGGACTTTAACACGCTCGACGAGGACGGATTCGCAGATTGCTATGATCCTCTGCACTCCGATTTCGAGGACGACCAGTTGGCTTGTAGCTTCGCGGAATTACCAGACACACCGTACGATTCGGACTCGGGCGAGAGCCAGAGCAGCTCGGCTCCCTTCCACGAGCTGGAAGACCCTATTTTGCTGCAGAGCTGAACTTGTTAACTGCCCCTCTTGATATTTAGTACCCTACCTTCGTGCTGCCCAAATTGCTCTGCTGCGTTTGTGTACTCTACCCCTTTTTAAGAAGCAAAAAGTTTGCACAGAGTGAATGAGGACGTTTAAGTGGGCGTTGATTTTTTTTTTAAGAGTGTGCAAGACATCCTTTTGAACACAAATGTACACACTAAACAATCTTAACTAAGAAATAGAAGTGATGTGGTTTTGTAACAGAAGCAGCTGAGTGATTTCAGGTCGAGGGAGATTTTGCTCACCCACTCTGGCTGTTTTCTCATTTTTAGAATGACTGGACAAACCTTTTCAGACTAGCTTAACTTATAACTTATACCAGTCTCAAAAGATCCAACCTTTTTGGTCAGTTACCATATTGTTTTGGACTTTTTTTAGCTGATTTTCGTAAAAGGATAGTTTGCCCAAATATGCCGTTTCAAACCTGTATGACGTCCGTCTTCTCTGAAATGCATATTTTTTGAAAAATGCCTCGGTGTAATTTTGTCCATACAGTCAAAGTCAATGTAACTTTTAGTAACAATGAAACTCAATGGGGTCCAAAACGATGTTGTTTTGGACCCCATTGAGTTTTATGGTTACTAAAAGTTACATTGAAACGAAAGTTACAATGAAAGTCATTTTGGACCCCATTGACTTCCATTGTAAGAACAAAAATAGTTCAACATTAAAGTAAAAAGAAATGAATACAGTTTTGGAACATGGCGGTGAATAAATGATCACAGAATTTTCCATTTTTGCGTGAACTATCCAATTAATGGTTTGATTCTTAGCAGGTTTTCACTGGACATTTTAGATGGCAATTTCAGCCATCTGTTCTCTACCGACTTTTTTTTGAATAGCCTTTATCAATGATATTTGTAGCATTTTAAGTGTCTGCAGAACTTGTGCGTGTTTGGTTATGTGACATTGTAACTGTGAATGTGGATTTCTCGCTTCAACAAGGTACAAATCGTGCAAAGTAGTCATAGTTTTTCAGAACAAACAATCTTGCAGGTGACCGGATTGGATGCTTGCGTTGTGGCAACGTGTTTCTAATCTTGCGATCAAACGGCCTGAAAGTAGCTGCGTTTCTGCCTTAGTTTTTGCTTTAACCGCTATTATAACCAGTAATATCCGATTACTTGTCAGTAGTATGTAGTATGGAAGAGGTTAGATTTCTCTGCATTTCGCCATAATGTGACTTTATTGAGTAGGATGATTGTTTACTCTTGACTGTTTACTCTCGAAACCTTTGGTTGCTCTAAATCTACTTCCTGTATCGTTATCTGGTGTATATCCCATTGAGTTTTTCAGTACATTATTTTAGTTTCCCGCTTTCAATTACAAAATAATGCTTTTAAGGTACAAAAATTTGAAACGTACTCTGCCAAATGTTGATTTAAAAGTACTACAAAAAGATTGTTGCGTATCACTGTACGTTTTTAGCTTCTATGTATGTAACTGCAGAATTTGCAGCTATTTTATTCACTTCAGGTTCTTAAAAACACTATTTTGACTGTCCAAGCACATATTTGCACGTTTTTCGATAACACCCTTCATAGGGTTGGCAAAATATCGATATTGGCATCAGCACTTCATTAGAATAGCAATACGTTCATAATCATAAACGGTCAAAAATTCCCTATATCACTGTAACCTGGCAGTTATATTAAGTAACTGATACTAGGCACTGTTTTCTATTGTATTCATGTGGCTACCGTTTGGTAAACCTGATGACATGAGAATATGCTGTGATGGGTGTTTACTCTTGAAGGAATGTGTGAAATACATTCAGTACATTGGGGTTCTGTTGAAGTATCTATGTGAGGTTTTGGTGTTAGGCACTTTAAATGTGTTTTAGGGGTGCCAAAAATAAGCGTGGAAAGATTTGACTGTGATGGAATTCAGTATGTGATCTTTCAGGGTATCAGAAAAAAAAATCCTCCTCAAGGTGCCTTCAAACCCAAATTGTATTTTTGCATTTGTGATTATATAGACTGGATTCAAGAACAGGCTACTGATTGTCATAAGAAAGTGCGATAATTTCTCTCCCACAGTAAACAGTTACAGAACATACTTTCAGCAAATTAACCAGCTCTTGGAAAAAAATGACTGAAATACTGCCCTGTTAGCAATAGCAGTTAAAGGCATTATTTAGTCTGTACTCGATTTATAAATATAAGAAAAAAGACATTTTAAAACATTTAAAACAAAAAAAAAGCTTTGTATTATATTGTTTACTTGGTGGTGTGTTCAGATATTCACATATCAAATGTCTTTGTCTTCCCCAGGCTCTAATCCACTGTTTGCATGATTGATTTTCTTTATCAGTGTTATGATGCTTGCCTCCCACAGAACCGGACTATTTGTGAGGAATATTGTTATTCATCTTTTATAAATAAAGGTTTTTGTTGCCTTATCGCTGGTCTTTCAGTTGCCTAAAGCAGGTCACTTTAAATGCTTTACAGCTATTCTATTCTAGCGATTATATATGTTTCATATCTGACAGAATACATTTTAAATGTTTATCTGTTGTAGTGCTAATGTACACAAAAGTTACAAAAGTTTGGGGTCAGTAATATTTTTTCATTCAGCAAGGATGCATTAAATTGATGAAAGGTGTCAGTAAAGATTGTTAAAATAATTTTAATATAATGGATGGATATAATGGATTATAATGTTACACAACACTGATGTTAAGACATTTTTCTTGAGCAGCAAATTGGCATATTAAAATAACGTGACACCGAAGACTGGAGTCATGGCTGCTGAAAATTCAGCTTTGCATTACAGGAATTACATTTTAAAACGTAATAATATTTCACAATATTACCGTTTTTACTGTATTATTAATCAAATAGATGCAGCCTTGGTAAGAATAAGAGACATTTCAAAAACATAAATTCTCATATAACTTTATATAAATAAAAACTTATACCCGTGTACAAATTTTCCAGTATTTTTAATATTGTAAAAGCATTTTTTGCTATAAATAACAGGTGTAAATAAAACATTTTATTCCATTCACCCCAGTTTCACTGAGACGACGATGGAAGCTGTGTTTGTCCTTTCAGGGATTCCGTAGCGGCTTAATACCGATGTGCAAACATGGCGGACATTGAGCGAAGTTTAGGCGATGGCTCTGGATTTTGTGCGATACATTTCCAGGTTTAGTTGGTTTTCTGTAAACGACAACGATCAATGACTTGCATGTCTACTGGCGTATTTCTTTTAGCCTGATTCAATCGACGTTACTCTCGTCGTGAACAGAAGCAACACATTCTGTGAACTTTGTGATGCCGGTAAACACACTGGAATCTGCTCGACTAAATCAAACTGACAGCACATTAAAACTCTTCACCTCTTATTTAGTAACTTTTTACGAGTTTATCATTTGCACATCTAGTTCACGCCTTCGTTATACCATGACCTTGAGTTGAACAGTTCGGTTCATTCAGCAGTAACAGGTGGATAGTGACAATCCACTATTTCATTGTAGATGTTACTCTAACCTTTGCACTAAAATGTCTCTAGGACGGTTTAGTTTTAGATTTACCTCAAATCCACCATACAACATGCCTTTCTTACATCCCTTTTGCTGAATAGTTGTGTCGCAAATAATTGTTCCTGTTGTGACGTATAATAATTACATCACTCGCGACGTTGAGTCTGCAAGCTTTTTCTGCTGTTGTGCGAGTTTGAACTCTGCAACGATGTGCAAGCTGCTCAAGTATTGCTTCAGTCACTTCCTGTATGCTGCTATGACCCGGCTGGACGAAGCCAACAAAGGGGTCAACATGTGGTCATCTATTCGGTACCTCGGTTACCTGTCCAGCCTGAACTCCCTGGTGGCCATTTGCCTGGGAATTTACATACAATGGGAGAAAACCGCAGACACTATCATCTTGGTCATTTTCATTTTGGGCCTCTTCGTTCTTGGGATTGCCTGCATTCTCCACTATTACTTCGGCATGGAGAGCGTCAGCCTGTTTCTCCTGCATCTGTGGTTTGGTTTCCTTCTGGGTTTGCTGTGCTTCATCAATGTCCCGTCCAAAGAGCTCGATGTTAAGGAGCAGGTGGCCAACTATATGTTAATAGCAAGCATTGCGATACGAACCCTATGGGCTTTGGTTGGAAGAATATGCGGTTATACCCGACATCAACCCACCTTCCTCACCTCAAGGGAAGCTTTGGAGCTCACAGGCTTCGCTGTGGCCAGCACAACCTTGGTCAGCCAAAAATCCATAAGTCTTGTGGTCCTGTCACTGGCTTTGGCTGCTCTAATTGTGGATTTGCGCATGAAGTCCCTCTTCGCGATCCCAAACCTGGTCTGCTTCTCGGTTGTCGCTGCGTTCTTCTTCCAGGAGTCTTTAGGAGTGTCAACCAACCCCTTCACCTTGTCTTGCTTCCTCAGCCGCCTCGTCTGCGACCCATTACTGGACGTCTACTTCAGCGGACTTTCGGTCACCGAACGCTGGTCACCGCTGCTACTGAGAAGAGGCCTGTGGAGACGTTTATCGCTTCTTCCTCTGGTTGTCATGGAGGTGATGTTTTTGGTCGTGGCCGCTCTGAAGATGAGAGATCTGGATCGGTGGTACCTGCTTATCCCGGGTCTTTCAGGATCTGCTGTTTTCTGGATCATCTGCCACCTGGTTTTTCTCGTCACGCTGTGGGGTTTTCACAGCAAGCTGAGTGACTGTCAGAAGATGTGCATGGTGCACACGTCAGACGCTGGAGAGCTGGACAGGGTCATGGCGTCTAAGGGGATGCGGCACTTCTGTCTCATATCGAAACGCCTGGTGCTCTTCAGCCTGATGTCCACCATCATACTCGGGGCTCTGGGTTGGCAGGTAAGGCTTCCTGTGAAAATCTTTCTTAGTTTTAAAAATTTCGTTCTTGTTCATGGTGGTTTCACATGGTTTGGTTAGACCTTTATACACTTTTCAAGAAAGGTTTAGACATAATGACTCTAAATAAGTAAAAGTGACATGTCTTTCTTACACCTTGAATATACATGAGTGACTGTCAGTTCTTTAAAAAAAGTTTTTTAAATATTTTAAAGGGTTAGTTCACCTAAAAATGAAAATTCTGTCATTAATTGCTCACCCTCGTGTCGTTCCAAACCTGTAGAACCTTCGATCATCTTCTGAACACAAATTAAGTTATTTTTGATGAAATCCGAGAGCTTTCTGACTCTGCATAGACAGCAACGCAACTGACACGTTCAAGGCCCAGAAAGGTAGTAAGGACACTGATAAAATAGTCCATGTGACATCAGTGGTTCAACCTTAATTTTATGAAGCTACGAGAATACTTTTTGTTTGCAAAGAAAACAAAAATAATGACTTTATTCAACAATTTCTTCTCTTCCGTGTGAGTCTTCTATGCGCTTTTATGAGAGTACCACGATGAGTAATTAATGACAGAATTTAAATTTTTGGATAACCCTCCCTTCAAGGTTTTTACTAATATCAAATGAATATTTCATAAATATTTCACATTCTATTTTGGAAGTCACACCAGATGATGGTGTACATAAAAAGGTCCTCCTCTCTATGATATCATTTCCTGTTTTATGGTTATTTTTCATGCTTATTGGTTTCACACCATGACTTTGATTTGGCACACAAATATTTTTTAAGTAATAATATGTGGTAATGCACCTAACTGTTATAAATAACTTTTCTATTTTATAAATTTCTAGAATATAAATATAGCCTGAATTTTCTGCATCACTACTCCAGCATTCAGTGTGACATGAATCCTTCAGAAATCATTCTAATATGCTGATTTGCTGCTTAGAAACATTTATTATTATCAATGTTGAAAGTTGTGCTGCTTAATATCTTTGTGGAAACCATGATAAGGGTGGGGATCATTTTCTTTGGTCTTAAATGTATTGTTTTCTCCTACAGCCGTCCAACAGTCTGTTTATTGCGTTGTTTCTGCTGGTGCTGCCTCTGGAGTCACTAGCCCACGGTCTCTTCCATGAGCTGGGAAACAGCCTCGGAGGAACCTGTGTCGGCTACGCTGTGGTGATTCCTACCAACTATTGCAGGTACTGGAAACATATACACTCACATTTCACTAACTTCAGGTCAGTAACTTACACAGAGGGTCAGTATTTCATCCTCATCCTCTCATTTTCTTTCAGCCCAGATGGTCAGCCCACCCTGCTCCCCCCAGCGCATGTGCAGGAGCTCAACTTGCGTTCCACAGGGATGCTTAACAACGTGCAGCGCTTCTTCTCTCATCACATGATCGAGACCTATGGTTGTGATTACTCCACGAGCGGTTTGAGTCTGGAAGCCCTGCAAGCTAAGCTCCGCATTTTCATGGAGGCGCACACGGCTGACGGCCCACGACACGACACCTACGTGCTGTATTACAGCGGACACAGCCACCGCAGCGGAGAGTGGGCTCTAGCAGGTGGGAGAATCATTACATAACATTCTTTCCTGTAGAAACAGACACAACAGAACCTGGGAGAATCTCATAACTTAAAACTCAAAAACATTCACCCAAAGTGAAAAAAAAAAAGAAATGAGAAAAATGTATTAAAATTTATTTGAAATTTTATTTATTATTTAAAAATCACTAACAAGACACTAACAGTTTTTTTTTAATGTATTAAGATACTGTATAATAGTAATGAAAATAACAGAATTTGTGACAAGAATAATCTGTTATATATCATCTGTAACATCTATTCAATTCAAGTTTATTTGTATAGCGCTTTTCACGATACAAATCGTTGCAAAGCAACTTTACAGCAAATGAAGTTTCTACAATATTTAGTGGTAGCTTATCAGTGGTGACTGTCAGTTAATGTACATATGGCAGAAATGTACGGAAAAATCAATTAAAGACGTAATCAAACAGACGATGAACACTATTAACAGCAATTATTATATGATGAAATCAAACTTATAGCAAAATTTGGTAGCAAAAAACTTATAGCAAAAAACATCATGCGAATTTGAATAAGCAAATGAATTAAAGGCCTTAGCAAATACAACCATAAAGTATACTTTACAATTTAAAAATAGGATTTTTGTTTTGTCAAATGGCAACAATACAAATTATTTTTTTTATTTTATGGAAAATGAAATCTAATTTAGACCAGTTACAATTTTTTACATTTTTAAAATGCATATTCCTTCAATATGGACGGAATATGCATTATCTATCTATCTATCTATCTATCTATCTATCTATCTATCTATCTATCCATTCATCCATCTGTCCGTCTATCCATCTATCTATCCATCTGTCTATCTATCCGTCTGTCCATCTATCTATCTGTCTGTCTGTCTGTCTGTCTGTCGATCCATTCATCCATCTGTCCGTCTATCCATCTATCTATCCATCTATCCATCTGTCTATTTGTCTATCCGTCTATCTGTCATCGATCCATCCATCCATCCATCTATCCATCCGTCTATCCATCTATCCATCTGTCCATCTGTCTATATATCTATCTGTCTATCTATCCATCTATCCATCTATCCATCTGTCTATCTGTCCATCTATCCATCTGTCTATCTATCTATCTGTCTATCTGTCTATCTATCTATCTGTCTATCTATCCATCTATCCATCTGTCTATCTGTCCATCTATCCATCTGTCTATCTATCTATCTATCTGTCTATCTGTCTATCTATCTA